TCTTTTGATTTTATATTGGAGTGGCCAGATTGCTTTTGTCTTCAGGAGTTCCCACAGAGGCCCAATTCAGGTGACGGTCAGATGTTTTCAGGATTTCTCCTAAGGTCTGGATCCCTCCAGGAAAGATTTTGGCCTCAGGAATTTGGGATGTTGGACTGGCCTGAGAGCTGGGCCCAGGAAAGGTGCTGGTCTAGGGCAGCTGGTGGCTGTGCCACCCAGAGATGCAAAAGAAGATGGGGCAGGAAGCGGCCCCAAGGGCTCCTGGTGACTGCATTGAGGAGCTGGGTTGGTCTGGATGCAAAGGATCAGGAAAAGGAAATGTCAGCCCGGGCATCCAGGAAAGAGGCTGGCATGTTGTGCAGACTCAGGGAAATAGAGGGAGGTGAGGGTGGGGCCAGGCCCAGAGTGCTCCTGGGGACCCAAGAAGGAACTGAGTTGGTCTGGATGCAAAGGATCAGGAAGCAGTGGTGGTTCCCCAGGTGTCTGGGGAATGGGACAAGGAATGGGACAGGACCCAGGCTAGGAGAAGAGACCAGTGGGGGAGATGGGAGGGTGAATGAGGCTGGGGGAGTCAAGGCGTGGAGGGCGCAATCTACTTACCCTGGAGAGAGAGGCCTGTGGGTCAGAGCTTTTTTTTGTCTTTTCAAGACTGGGTCTCCATCTAGCCCCAAGCTGGCCTGGAACTCATGATGTAGACCAGGCTAGTCTTGAACTCACGGAGATCTGCCTGCCTCTGCCTCCCAAGTGCTGGGATTAAAAGCATGTGCCACCACACTCAGCTAGTTGAAGTATCTTTTAAAATTAAGTATCATCTTCATCACTATGATTTTTTTTTCTGATTAAAGTAGCATTTACTAATCACTGAGGTATTTGTTTAAAATTCAGTTCATCCAAAATGGAGTAATATGCATCACGTCAGTGTGCAACCAAGCACAAAAACAGTATCAATGTTGAATCTGTGAATGATTTTCCATTTACTGTGATGTGCTACTGTAAATATACCTCTTTAATTACTTCTGATCTCTTTGGTGACCTATTTAAATTTGTGTACATTATTGTACATAGAATAAAGTGTTTTCACGTTTTTATGACAAAATTTGAACAAATAGCTTTTTAATGGATATAATAACGGTCATACGGTGTGTCAATGGTGCCAAATATTCCTCAATGAAATTATAATGTACCTAATGCTGGTCCCTAGTTTTTCTTTAAAATGAGTGGGAGAATGAAAATGCAAAATACAGGAAATTTATAAAATTAAAGCCAAGGAAATAAAATAATTTGGAGTAGAAAGGTGATAGAATATTTTAAAACTAAGGAAAAATTAATCTGTTAGAAGCAACCGAGAAATTATTTTGACACTTGAGCTGCAATGTAGTTGAACTGGGTTCAAAAGTCATGACTCAGACTGAGAATTGAGAAATAAGCTTGTTATCAACTAAACTTTGATATAAACCAGAATGTGCTGTTTAATTTTTAGGTCAAAACAGCCATTCTGTGTTTGCAGGAGTGTAATACAATTGTCCTTTGAGACTTTTGATGAGATTACACAATAAAAAGAGGTTTTCATTGTTAAACTAAGGCATTAAGTAGCACAGACAGCACTAATGTGCTTTAGGGTAAAAGTGCGGGGGTAATGAACAGCACAAACTCTTGAGACAACTTCTAGAAATGAAACTTAGTTTTCCATTATGAAACTTAGTGTTACCATGAAATTTCACATACATGGTAATAAAAATGGAAAACACAGGAAAATTAAATATCAGGAAAAAATATTTTGATGGTGTTGTTATATAGCATGTTGGCCAATTCCAGTGGTTCTTCTTCTCTTATTGCTGACATTATCTCCAGTATTTGAATTATATGGCAGGGTTCATTTCTATCTTTTTTTTTTTTGGGGTTTTTGAGACAGGGTCTTCCTGTAGTCCCAGCTGGCCTGGAACTCTCTCTGTAGACCAGGCTGGCCTCGAACTCACAGAGATACGCCAGCCTCTGCCTCCCTTTTTGGTGTTTTTGAGACAGGGTCTTCCTGTAGTCCCAGCTGGCCTGGAACTCTCTCTGTAGACCAGGCTGGCCTCGAACTCACAGAGATACGCCAGCCTCTGCCTCCCGAGAGCTGGGATTAAAGGTGTGTGCCACCACACCTGGCTCATTTCTATCTTTGCTGGGAAATTAAGTTTTTTATTTTTTGTTTTTGTCTTTTTGTCTTTTTGAGACAGGGTCTCCCTGTAGCTCCAGCTGTCTGGAATTCACTCTGTAGGCCAGGTTGGCCTCGAACTCACAGAGGATCCACCTGCCTCTGCCTCCCGTGTGCTGGGATTAAAGGTGTGCACCACCACGCCCGGCCAAGGGAAATGAAGGTTTCATGTATTTTGATCCCTCATGTGTACTTTCAACTCCACACCAAGAAGCATCTGTCTCCATTAATTTTTCACTAGGTATTGACTTCAGAACTTCCAAATTAGCTTCAGTTTTCAGCGAACAGCCATTAAATCCGATATAAAGGTCCAAGTCCATCAGAGCAGCCGCTGCTTCCTTGGTTCCATCAAATGAACGCACCACTCCACCCACACACCGACCTCTGTTTCTTTTCATTATGTCCCAAAATTCATCGTGTGAGTTTCGACAGTGAAGAAACATTGCTAATTTTGTTTGTTCTGACAGTTCAAATTGCTTTTCAAAATATTTGAACTGAGTATCTTTGGGACAAAACTGAAGTCGGTCAAAATCAAGTCCACACTCCCTGTCGCTACAACCTTCCCCTTGTTCTCAGCAAGATTTAGCAACTCCATTAAGTAATGGTCAGGGTCATTCTTTTCAAATTCATCACACCTTGTGGGATGACACCCAGCTGTACTGAAAAACATATCATTTGTTTGTGCCAACTTCAGCACATCTTTACTGTCTTGTAGACTTCCACCTGTAATCATAAACTTTTTAACACCAATCTGGATAGCTCTCTTTATTACATCCTGTAAGTCATCTTGATGCTTCTGTATCCCCTTATAAATTCCTCTGAACATAGGATCTGTCAGGTTGATACCAATAGCTACAAACTTGAAGTGCCTCATGACAGCTAGGCAGGCTCTTCCTTGACGAAGTGGAAGTGGCCTCACTATGATTATTGTATGTGTATGATGTATGTATGTGGATGGATGCACACACCATAGTGTGCATGTGGAGACTACAGCACAACTTTGTGGAGTCAGTTCTCTCCTTCTACCTTTGCATGGGTTCTGGGGATTAAATTCAGGTGGCCAGGCTTGTGCAGCAAGTGCTTTTATCTGCTATGCTATGTCACTGGTCCACAGTTGTCTATCTTATGCACCCTACCAAGAAGAAAGATGGATATGCTTCATGGATGCTTGGTTGATCTTTTTGAATTTCAGAGGAAGCTTATATAGTATAATGTACTTCTATGACCCATTAAGTTTGAGACTCAAAAGGTACCAGCCTTAATAGGACTGAAAGAAAAGTACTTTTGGTTGGTCTGTTATAATGCAAGCAACTCTGCCACTTGGCCCATCAAATCTAATGGTACTGGTCTCAAGTGCCCACAGCAGACTGAGAGGTTCTATAAAGCCCAAAGAAGAATCCAGTGGACAATTTGGAATGAAGTCATGCTCTTTGTCAAAGACTATTATACTTTTGAAAAATAGTTCTTGGCTCATAACCTGACTTTGAAAGAGACTAAATGCCCATCTATAGAACACCAAATGATTGTGCAATCTGAATGCTCACTGTGAGCTGGGTGGTCTTTGATTCACCGGGCTGAAGCTTTGTCACCAAGCAGAAGAGAAGTCATATATGTGTGTGTATGTGTGTGTATAAGTATATATATATTTACATATATATATAAATATACCTATACATATCTATATGTTTATATGTAAAATATATCTATATGTATATATATAAATCATAACATTTACAAATGAAAAAAGTTATATATATGAGCCTGGGTGAAATTTGAGTGTACCTGGAATAACACTCCTATACTCAGTATGCCAACACTTGCATTACCCTCTAATAAACCCATAATTTTACCTGGATTACCCCATAATTAAAGAAGGAAAAAAAATTCCAGTCTACCTTACTGTTGTCTGGCTCTTTCCTCAGAAACAGTCCCTCCTGGGGGGAGGGGGAGCTCATAAGACAAGAAGCTAAGGAAACTTGCAAGGCTCATAAAGACGCTGAAAGTTACAAGATTCACAAGGGTCCTCAAGGGTATAATAAGCAGCAGAGAACTGCTCAGGAGAAGAGACTTTCCAGTGGTGCTGCTTGCAAGTTGAGCACGGAGCTTCAGGGGTGCAGCTTTTGCAAGTTGTCCCCCATGTCAGGGTGGGCTTTTTAGTGATGCAGCTACCTGTTTGTTACCCATGCTCCAATCTTAATAAGCTCATTGGTTCACTAAGTTATGTTTGACTGGAACTTTTTCTCTGTCAGTGGCACCTTATCTGGGGTGAATAGATGTTTGTGTCTTACCAGGAAAAAAAATCACATAACATTACAAATGAAAAAACAGTAAGTTAGCATCAGCAGCTGGGAAGATGGACCAGTAAGCAAGGTGCTTGTCATGTACCCCTAGCACCATATAAAAAGTGGGACATGAATATGTATGCTTGTAATCTCAATGCTGAATAGGCAGAGACAGGTAAATCCCTGGGGCTTGCTAGCCAGCCAGCCAGCCTAGCCTAATCAGCAAGCCCCAGGTCTCAAGGAGATACCCTGTCTCAAAAAATAAGGGCACAAGATTGGGTCTGTCAACACTCTGTCATGGAAAGGTGAGGGGTTTAGAGGGTCCTGCCCCTCTCTGAGGATTTATATGTGGTAGATGGCAAAGAGGCATTTTCTTCAGGGGTGTAGCTATTGATAGTGTGCTGGAGCTCCAGTGAACTCACCCTCATCCAAGCTCCCAAGCTCCTGTGGACAACCCTGGTAAAACTCATTCTCTCTCTCTCTCTCTCTCTCTCTCTCTCTCTCTCTCTCTCTCTCTCTCTCTCTCTCCCCCACCCCCTCTATCTCCAGAGAGAGAGAACACATGAACATGTGGGGGTGTGGGGGGCTACTTGGGAAGAGGGAGGGGATGAGTGGAGCAGGAGTGGGAGCTATGCCATGTTCAGATGGCACCTTGTGAGATTTGACATGATCCTTCAGGATGCTTGTGTTCTAAAGCAATGAGAGCAAACTAAATGGTGTTTTCTCCATGAACCAACGCTGTTGTGTAGGATCCAGGATGAAAGTGGGGTGATGGTGCCCTTGCCAACCCCATTTAATGAATCACTAAATATTTTTTTCAATTTATTTTTATTTTTTGAGATAGTGACTCACACTAGCCCACTGGGCCTTGAATGCTCAGCAATCCTGCTCAGCCTCCCCAGTACTGGGATTACAGGTATGAGTCACCATGCTTGGTTTATGAATCACTACATTTTTTTGTTGCTTTTGATCCCTTTAAACTTTGCTGATAAAGAGGTTTTTGTATTCAAAGGAGAAATGCTTTTTAGTAGCAAACACTGCAATGTTTCTACTGAACTGGCTGAGGTGCCAACTGGCTGCTTGAAGCTTCTTACAGTAGTAGGTGAGCAGGCAGGAAAGGGGTAACGTGTCATGGGACCACAGAGTTCCTGGGAGTCTTGCTGCTCAGGGCTCATGGGATCTTTTGGTTCTTGGAAACCAAAACTATCAAGTTGGACTCAAACAAGATCCTAGCAACTCTCAGTTTGTATGAGAGTCCTCAAGATGTTTTATTGTGGTAGACGAGGACCTGACAGATAGAGCTGGCATGGACATCAACAGGCAGAAAAATGGTAGATATCAAGGCCATTAATATTTTATAACATTAAACATCGTTTAATAAGGCTAAGGTTCATCCTTTAAAAAAATGACCACGCCGGGTGTGGTGGCTCACACCTTTAATCCCAGCACTTGGGAGGCAGAGGCAGGCAGATCTCTGTGAGTTCGAAGCCAGCCTGTCTACATAGTGAGTTCCAGGACAGCTAAGGATGGCTGCTAACAACCATCCTTAACTCCAGTTTCAGGGAACCCAACTCCCCTTCTGGCCTCTGCAGGCACTGTATGCATGTGATGTACTTAGATGCAGGCAAAATACTCATACACATAAAATAAAAATACATAAAATACATTAAAAATATATCACATGAGCCCTGTGTGGTGGCGCACGCCTTTAATCCCAGCACTCAGGAGACAGAGGCAAGCGGATCTCTGAGTTCAAGGCCAGCCTGGCCTACATAGTGAGTTCCAGGACAGCTGGAGCTACAGGGAGACCCTGCCTCAAAAAAAAAAAATCACATGATACCCTTATAACTATGTACAATTTTTGTCTTTATATATTAACAAAATAAATTTAATAACAAATTATAGTGAAAAAAATTAACCTGAGGTCCTCCTCTTGTGCTGTTAGACTATTTGTCACTGAGACAAACACTGAGAAAAGGAAGAGGAGAAAAATTTCTTTTGGCTCATGGTGTCAGAGGGTTCAGTTCACAGTCCCTTGTCCCATTGTTCAGGCCTGTGGTAAGGAAGTGCACCACGGCAGACAGATTGTGGTAGAGTTTACCTCAAGGCAGCGGGGATGGAGAGGGCCAGTGATGAGGTGTATCTTCCAGTGATACACTTCTAGCTAGGCTTCAACTCCCAGAATTGCTGTTATATTGTGTCCATCAGGGAGTTAATCTCTCAATTAGATCAGTGCTATCAGGATCTAATCACTCCCCCAAACTCACCAGCTAGATACAAAATCTCCAACATACAAGCTTTGGGAGACTTCTCGGGCTCAAATCATAATGCCTCTTTAGTTTTTCTTTCTTTTTTTATTTTTATTTTTATTTTTTGAGGCAGGGCCTTCCTGTAGCCCCAGCTGGTCTGGTCTATGTAGATCAGGCTGGCCTCAATCTCACAGACATCTGCCTACCTCTGCCTCCTGAGTCCTGGGACTAAAGGCATTTGCTACCAGGCTTGGCTATGCCCCTTTAAGTTTTAAGTGTATAGTAGAGTATGGTTAATTTTAAGGACAATGTTGCTCAGAGGTTCTCAAGATCTCTAGACATCTAAATCCAGACCTCTAGAAATTTTCATCTCTAGCACTCCGTCCACTGGACAGCAGCTCTCCATGACCTCCTTCCCTGTCTTCACAATCATCACTTTACTTTCTGCTTCTGTAAGTCTGACAACTTAAACACGTCATCATCATGGGCTCATCTGTGCTTCTCTGAGTCCTCTCCCTCTCCTTCCCACTCTTCAACCACCCCCATCTCAGATCTCACTGTGTAGCCCAGTCTGACCTCAAATTCCTAGTGATCCTCTTGTCTTAGCCTCCTGAGTACTGGGATTACAGGTGTGTATGACATAGTTTACATAAAAAGTTGTAGCTGTTTGACTCCCACCCTCTCCCAAGATAATATGTTGACAAGTGGTTATAGCAACTCAAGAGTCTCCTTGCTTTACAAAGAATTGCTTAATATATGATTAAGGCAATGAACTGTGAGTGAATTGCTATGGGGAATTTGGAATCTTTTTGGCACAAAGAACACTGAGGTTCTACAAAATGAAAATGATATCTCAGACAGCTATCTCGGTTCCTGGCAGGCACTGGAAAGAAGATGCACTTGCTATATGGAGGACAAAATTCCATAGGCCCCGGAGTGCTCAAGATTATTTATAGTCGTGACATATATAAATATTTAAATATAAATGGCAAGATTATGTAGCTCTTATACCCTATCGTGAGCCTCACTGGATGCGCATAGGACTCTTAAAAATATCGAGCACTTGCTGACTTGGACTAAATGAATCAGATGCTCCACCTGGAAATGCCTTTCTTGTGGCTTTGCCAACTGTGAAATAGGCATTAAAAGACAGCAGTGCATTGAGGCTCAATGTCGCTGGCAGCTAGTAGCCTAGAAACCAATTAGCCTTAGGAGCACCTCTTCTCCGCCAGGCCTGTACATTCTGGTGGCCTTGTGGGAAAGGCATACATTGTACTGTAGCTCCACTCACTGGCTGTATTAGTTACTTTTCTGTTGCTGTGATAGAAACACTGACCAAAGCA